GAGCAGGGAGCCCGATGCGGGGCTCGATCCCAGGACCCTGAGATCATGACCTGAGCCGAAGGCAGACGCTTAACGACTGAGCCACCCAGGGTTTCTCTGCCTTTCTATGTAGATTTTGGAATCAGCTTATCAGTTTCTCCAGAAATCCTGCTGGGATTTTGACTGGGATTGCCCTGACTCTATATCTCAATTTGGAGAGAATTGACATATCCATGGTATAGCCCTCCATTTACTTGAGCCTTTTTATATTCCGTCAGTGTTGTACAATGTTTAACATATTTTATAATATTTATGCTTATAGTATTTCATGTTTTTTGGTGCTATTTTAATGGTACTTAAGAGTTTTTAATTGTTTCTTGTTCATTGCTAATATATAGAAATTTGGTTTTTGTTACTGTATCCTGTGATCTTGTTACACTCAATAGTTCTAGAAGCTCTTTTGTAGATTCTTTTGGATTTTCTATGTAGGCAGTCAGGTGAAATGCAAGAGAGGCAGTTATATATCTTCCTTTCTAGTCTGGTACCTCTTAATTCTTTTCTTCTCTCTCTCTCTTCTCCCTTCCTTCCTTCCTTCCTCCCTCCCTGCCTCTTTCTCCCTTTCTTTCTTTCTTTTCTTTTCTTTTTACTTTTCTTTTCTTTCTTTCCTGCCTTATTGCACTGACTAGAACCTCCAGTACAATGTTGGATAGACATGCTGAGAGCATACATCCTTGCCTTGTTTCTGATTTTAGGGATTAAATACAATGTTAGCTTTAAGTTTTCCATAGATGCCCATTATCAGGTTATGGAAGTACGCCCCCTCCTTGTTTTCTGAGAGTTTTTTTGTTTTTTTAATCATGGATGGATGTTGAATTTGTCAGTCTTTTTCCGCATTGACTTAGATGTTCATCTACCTTTTCTTCTTTAGTTTGCTAAGATGGTAAATAACAATGACTGACTTTTGAATGGTGAACCAGCCTTGCATTCCCAACATAAACTGCACTTGGTCACTTCTCCCTCAGTTCTGTTGAGCCTGCTGATGCCCCAAGGACATCCTTCATTTCTGTGACTGTGTCTTGCCATCTGATTCTTCCATATAGCTTCCCTCTCTCTGCTGAACTACCTATGTGACCTGGCACACTGTTCACCTTTTTCCACTAAACCATCTGCCCAGGTGAACAGGTGCTCATGCTTCTCAACATGGAAATTCTCGTGTCCTTCGAATTTCGGTGGGTTTGTTGCCTTGTGACCTCAGCTGTCTGATGGGTTCAAATTAGGTTGTGAATTTGCAGTGTCCAACGATTTGGTTGTTGAAATGGTAGGGGCAGAGCTCTTTTTAGCTTTCTGCATCATTATCCATAATTGAATATTGAATATTGCTGTAGAGAAAGACCTAAAGTCAGCCTAATGCTTTCTCCCTTTTTGATATATGGCGGTCATTAGTGCTGCTTAAAAATATTTCTAGCTCTCCAACTTCCCTTTATGTGGTAAGGTTATACTTCCTAGTCTCCTTGTGGTTGTTTAGGGCCATGTGAGCAAAACTTATGTGTATCACTTCCAAGCCTGAATAGTACCTGCAGTGTGAGATTGTGCAGAGCTCTTGTTCTTTCTGGCATGGTAATTGCAAGTTGTAGATGGGGGCTGCACCATCAGTCTGGGTGACTATGATGGGTAGAGCCCGCATAACTCACCCACACTGGGCAGTGTAGCATGAGTGAAAAATAAACTCTTGTTGTCTTAATCCACTGAGATTTGGGGGATACTTGTTACCACCTTAACCTAGCCCATTCTATCTGATGCAAGGCAACAGGTTTCTTAGGTTCAGTTCTCAATAATATTTTTAAATTATCAAGTGTATTTTCTTCACTGTGATGCATCTTGATATTGATCGACCTTTCTCAAATTTCCCATGGTAAACTTTTGCCCAGTGAGTTTGCATCTTGACTTTATTTCAGCAAAGTTTCCTTGAACTAGAAATCTGATTTTTTTTTTCCTTTTCTCTTTGTTTTAAGATAACTGCATTTCTTGGACCAATTTTTTTTTTTAAATTTAAATTCAATTAATTAACATATAATGTATCATTAGTTTCAGAGGTAGAGTTCAGTGATTCCTCAGTCTTCTTGGACCACTTATACCCATCTTTTATAACTATCATTTTCTTTCTCTAATTGTTTAAACTCTTCCTTTTCCATCTTATTTTGCTCTGAAGTTTCTCTTAAGGCTCTCTTCCTACCCTGTTTTCTGCAGTGTTATCTCTGTGCTCTGCTTTTGATGTGATCTTGAGCTTTGGCAGGTTCCTTTGCAAGTCTCTGCTTCTCTATCACTTATTCCCTGAGCCCTTGTGTCTCTGCTTTTAGCCCTTGGATTACAGCAACCTTCTCTGTCTGCTCCCAGTTGTCACCACAGCTGTCTCTAGCTGGTTAACTACAGTGGCGTTTTCAGTGTATTTCATATCTTTCTTAGATCTTTTCTGACTCATATGGGTACTTCAAAGCACAAAAGCCAATTCCTAACCTGTATTAAGTATTGTGCTCTACCTAAATAGGCTTTAGCATAATTAAGAATTTATACTTCCTTC